ATATTTATTAGTAAGATTGGTCAGTAGCTTTCTACTTTGGATGGATCTTTGTCCTAATTTTAAAATCAGTAAAATATTCCTCTTAACATTTCTTTAGGGAAGCATCCTAATGAAACAATATAGTTAAAGGTATTTGCCAATTGGGCACTAAGTAAATCTTAAAAAAAATTATAAAATACATCAGAGAATTAATCTGGTCTCAGGGTTTTTTTTAATGATGTGATTAAGCAAAAATTTTGTTTTTCTGAAATTGATGGCAGAGTAGTATTATCTATGTATGTGTCTATATCCTTATTAGTTGTGGGCAAGTCATACAGCTTACTACAGTATGAATTAAAGAATTTGCCAATCGTTTAAGGAGTAAGATACACATCCTTGTCTTCCGTTATTATTGTAATTTTATTTGATGCAGTTCTATCTCTCAGTCTCTGCATTAACAGCTTATCTGCCTAATTACCCTTACTGTAATTCTTCATTTTTAAAATCTACATAATTTTTGCTTTGTTTTCTCAAATTGTTTGATTTGTTTTTGAATCTCTGTCACATAAGCCACATTAATTTTATAAGGTGTTGAATTATACTTTTTTAAGGCAATTGCTAGCTCAGCATAAAGTATTATCAAGTCTGCACTTTTATCTTTCCTAGACTGCATGATTAAACTTATGAAATTGACTCTCAATGTAGATTCTCTTTAAATTTATAAATATTTATTAATTAAAAATATAAAATAATTGCATTCATCTTGTTACATTCACATTACCAATTCTTTGTATTTTAAAATCACCCATGAGTAATCAAACATAGTAACCATCATTCATATCCATAGAAAAAAATCACTGTACAAAACATATACACATTAGAGGTCATCCAGGGCATTTGACTGTCTACTCTGTTGTTTAAGTTCTCTTACTTGAAGAAGGTAGCTTTATTCTAGTTCCATCCATAGGAATCATGTATTTATAATATATAAATACATATATAACATATAACGTGTAAATACATATATAACATATATATATATTATCATATAGCTTGTTCTTAAGCTTATCGCCTTTAAAGAAATATCTTTCTGTTGTAGCATGATATTGTATTTGTGCCTTTTTTTCTGGCCAGAGTGGTGTCTCCATTTTTTTAAATATTTAGCAATATATATCTTGATAGTAAGAAATATGTTGATGCAGAGATACTTAGTGTACTTGTTCATTGTTGGAAAATCTATATGCAATAAGAATGTAAAAAACTCATAATTTTGATTTAATATATGCATTGTTTGTTTCAATAACTTGTTTTTGATATAGGCAAGTTTGTCACAATCCCACCATATGTGAATTAGTGTGCCTTCCTTTTTGTGACATCTCCAGCATAATTTTGATGTTCTCTGATCGAATCTTGATACTCTGCTAGGAGTCATATACCACCTATGCACAAGTTTATAGTGCTGTTCGTGGAGATTTACACAATGCGTTGCTTTCCTAGTAACACACCATGCTTTGAACCATGCTGAAAGAGGTAATAGATTTTTATGGTCTCATTCCCAATTGTTTATATATTTAGATTTAATTATCTCTTCTTCTGAGACTATGACTTCTGAGATTTTAGGAATTAAATTTTGAGAAGTATATGATTCAATAAATCTTTCCCATTTATCATTTTGAGTATAGGATATAGAAGTCAAGAAATGTTTAATTCTGAGATAACTAAATATCTCACTTGCCGGTAAACTGTAGTTATTAGTTAAGTAGTTAAAACACAAAATTAGATTATTATTTATTAAATTTGAAAAGGAATCTATAGCATGTGCTTTCCAGACTTTTATTGATATATCTTCAATGCATATAGGGAGGACTTCAACTGGAGTTCGATAAATAAAAATACGAGTGTTTCCCTAATTTATGCATTGTAAGTATAATATCTACAACTAGAGTTGAGCGAACCCGAACTGTAAAGTTCGGGTTCGTACTGAACATTACGGTTTTTGGACCCCGGACCCGAACACGGACATTTCAGTGTATGTTCGGGTTGGAGTTCGGTGTTCTGCGATTTAATTACGCGTTTTGAAAGGCTACAGGGCAGCCAATCAACAAGCGTTTGTCTCGTGTGCCCTTAGAAGCCATCACAGCCATGCCTACTATTGACATGGCTGTGATTGGCCAGTGCAGCATGTGACTCAGCCTCTATATATAAGCTGGAGTCACGAGGTGCTGCACATCACATGAGCTCTTATTAGTGTAGGGAGAGGATGCTGCAGCTGTGAGGGACAGATTAGGAAATAATTCTGGTGTTGAAGCTGCGAACTACAGTGATTATTTTTGTGGGTGCTATACTACATTTTTGTACCCTGCCCTGAGCCCAGTGCCACAGAGAGTGCAGTGCACTTGCAACTGCATGTGTGCCAGGCACATTACTTTAATCCTGTTCTGGTAGCTCAGTGGGCAACATCTAGGCATTTTTAAATACTGCAATTTTTTGCTAAATATGCTAAATAGTACATTTGCGTACTGCATTTCTTGCAGTAAAACCCTTAAATACTACTGTTGTTGGTTTAAAAAATTCACATTTTTTTGGTGCTAAAGAGTACATTTGCGGCCTGAGGTGCACTTCATATCTGAGAGTCAAATAGAACCGTCAAATACTGTGGTTACATCGCAGTTTTACAAATTCAAATATTTTTGGTGCTAAATAGTACATTTGGGGTGTGTACTTCATATCTGGTGTATGTGTGCAATACTGGCTAGTTACCGCTTCTCAAGAAAGTCTAAAGACAAATAAATGTTGCCTATGGTGCAGGTAGTATAGAAGGCAAGACTGAGACAAATCATTCGGGTTACGTTTGCCTGTTGACATGTTAATTATCTTAGACCATTAAAATTCAATAATCAATGAAAAAACACACTAAGTGTCATACAAAAATATGTATTATAGACAAGTTAAAAACAAGACTACAAGTCATGCTATAACAAAATTAAACACGTTTTAAAATATGTATGGGCCAACCAGTGGCTGTAAAAACAAAGTTTTACTGGTTACATTCTGTAACGAGAATATACCCCTACACGCAGGATCCAGCTAAACAGAAGCCAATACAGAGGAGAGATACGTCTACCGGACCTTAGAATGGCCGGACTCGACGTATATGAGAGGAGACAGAGCCAGGAACAAACCGAGGTCAAGGGCACAGAGAGACAGCGTAAACTAGGACAAGCCGGGGTCTGGTACACGGAAAACAGCAAGCCGGCAAACAGTACAGATAAGGATAAAGCGAAAACGAAGTCAGAATACGAAGCCAAAGTCAATACGAGAAAACACAACTGAACACCACAAGCGCTAAAGGGAACTGAAACAGAAACCACGATAGGGCAACGAGCTAAGGGAAAAAGGTAAGTTTAAATAGCTTTTAAACGAAAGTGATTGGCTCCTGTCACTTCCACACCCCCAAAAGGTAATTGTATAGGGAGTGTGGTATGACAGGAGCCAATGGGAGCCTTTTGGCAATTAGGCTCCCACTGTCTCTTTAAGAGCGCGCCCGAGACTCGCGGCGCGCTCTTAGTTTCAGGCGGGACACGTGACCGCTTCACGCGGTCACTGCCCGCCTTCCATCTAAAGCAGTCGGATGAGCCGCGCGCGGCTCGTGCAGCCGCAGGACCGCGCGCGGCTTGAAGAGAGGACCGCGACCGGCCCCCGGTTAAGGTAAGTAACGCTACACATTCATGATTACACACTCTAGTGAACAGGACCTTCATGTAGTGTGTTCCTTTTTTAAAAAAAAAAATCATACAGCATCCTTTCATGTGCTTTTTAGATGTCATATTGTTAATTACCAATATTTGTTTAGCCTGATTTTTTTTTTAAAGTGAAAAATAAGTGTTATTGCGATCGCTTCATATACAGAAGCATTATTATATATTTCTATATTGTGCAAAGACACAACTATAAAGTTAAAAACCAAACACCAAAACAATGCGCCAGACAATCTACCTGTGGATGGCTAGTGTGATACAATAAGTCTACATCTTAAAAATGCAATAACCCACAGAAGATGGGCGAGATTTTTTTTTTGCAAATGGAACTTTGATTCGAATTTACTACATCGGTCACTTGTAATATTGTTTCACACCTACAACACTTGTTGAACAGATCTAAGTGATAGAAAACAGATTGATATTTTCTACACTAGAAACTAACAGATAACAAGCTGCTATATTTAAACCAGTTATCAATAGCTAAGAGGTAATTAAACAATATTGTAATTCTGGGGCAATACCCTCACAAGTCAAACTGAGAGGTCAGTTTATAGGGAAAACTGTTGTCTGGATACAATTCTAAAACAATTTCCATGTGTCCTTTGCAGACTTAACAATTTTTATTTTTCAGTGAATTTAAACATGTAAATAAAAAATATTTTAAAAAGTGTATAAATATCAAAAAACAAGCTTTAAAAAAAAATGAAAAACCCAACTCTGAAGCATGTTTGTCATTCTGAATGTTCAGTTGGCCTGCAAAAGAATAATGAGTTATTAAAGTATACCACACAAGTTTTACATAGGTTGCCATTATACTGTATATGAAATATTTGGAGATACAATTTAGATTACTTGCACTTTGAATCTTTAACACGCCACGCAGCATTACCACTCCAGCTTGACAACTTTCCATGGGTGGAAGTTACCAGCAGGCCCCCAGGACCTGCCAGCACAGGAAGGTGCTACCAACACCCAGTGGAACCCAGGTAAGTTGTCAAATCGCAAGCTGACTACTTACACTGGGAGGGCTCCAGGACACACTTGGGACCATAATCTTTATCACTTATCTACAGGCTGTACCAATTATAGTGTTTGCCATTTCAGTAAGTTATTCTTAGTGAACTTTACATGCTGGAAAAACACAGGTGCCAACTGCTGTGGCTTTCTGCAGTGTGCAGACCAGGAAGGAGGGCAGGGTTGAGGAGTGGGTGGAAGATGATGTGGAGGATGATGAGGTCCTAAACCCCACATGGAATGATGGTCATGTGAGTGACATGGGCAGTTTGGAGGAAGAGGAGTTGGTCGCACAGAGGCACCAGAACAGCATAAGAGGTAGCAGGGTGCAAAAGCGGAGCGGCCATCCCCTAGCGCTCATCAGCATGTATTAGCTCTAGAATTACCACAGTTATCCAAGTAACAGATGGAGCGATCAAAGGAACCATAACTGATTTAATGAGCCATTCGCAGTTTCACTGTAGCGGCTGTGCGCTGTTTCGGCTTTCTTACCTTGCTGCTGCTAGCCTGTCTGCGCTGCAGTATAACTTCAGCCTTCCTGCTCACCACCTCATATGCGACGTGCCCACAAGGTGGAACTCCACCTTGCACATGCTGGAGAGACTGTGCGAGCAGCAGCAGGCGATAGTGGAGTTTTAGCTGCAGCACGCATGGGTCAGTCGCTCTGTGGAACAGCACCACTTCACCACCAATTACTGGGCCTCCATGCGAGACCTGTGTGCCATGTTGCGCTGTTTCGAGTGTCCACCAACGTGGCCATTGCAGATGACACTGTTCTCAGCCTTACTATCCCGCTTCTATGTCTCCTTGAAAAAACGCTGAAATTCCTGGCCTTTGAAATGCTGTTATTCCGTCTGGTGGAGACGGACAGTTTAAAAAACCTGATGTCGTTATTGGACTGTAAGAAATGCACTGCAGGCCGCAAATGTTTCTTTTTTGATATGTCCCAATATTTTGGGGCTATCCCAATTTAAAACAAAAAAAACAAAAAAACAAATAAAAAACAGTGTTGGCTACCTCCTCCACCGCCGCTTCCACCTACACCACCACGGTCACCGCCTCCTCAACCTCCTACTCCACATCCACCTCCTCCTCCTAGTTCAAGATTATTATTTTAAATTTTTATGTATTTTATGTTATCCACATTTGTTTGCAGGGCACTTGTCCTACTCTTACCCCCATTTTACTTCCTTTTGCAGCCCTCTAGCCCTTTCCAGGACTTTTTTAGAGCCATTTTAGTTTGATCATTCCAGGCAATCATGTGAGTCATTAAACAAGTGTCTTGTAATTGTAATTTGTTTAAATCAGGGTAACCTAGACCATCCAATCTCTTTCCTCTCTTCAATATATTACATGCAACTCATGGTTTTTTCGAAACCCATACATAACTAGAGAAGATTAATTCTAATCTTTTCAGTAAATGTGCGGGGATTCTCATAGGAATTGATCTAAAACGATATAGTACCTTCGGGATTACGTAAGCTTTTAGGATAGTAATATGCCCTATCCAGGGTATTTCCAAATTTTCAGCAGTTCAAAATTATGAGATATTGTATTTTCTATATTGGAACATATTTTTATCCTTAGATAATCAATGACATTATTAGACCAGTCCATATTGATCATTCCACAGATATCCACCCGATAAGAGTGTGCTAAGTACAGGGAGATAGCTTGTGTCTTTAAAAGATTTAGTTTGTAGTTGGAGAATTTACTAAATTTTTCTACACCTTCTAGTAGTTTTCGTATCGATGTTTTAGGAGATAATAGGGTTAGTAGTATGTCATAAGCATATAAAGTGATGACCTGTTCTTTGTGACCAATTATTATGCCACAAATTTCAGATGACCCTCTAATATAAGCTGCCAACGGTTCAATAGTAAGAGCATAGAGTAATGGCGCCAAGGGGCAGCCCTGACGGGTTCCATTTTTTATTTTAAAAAAATCTGTTCCTTCATTGGTTAGACTTTGTTTATTTATACATTCCAACTGAGCCAGGCTAATATATAACTCCGCCCGGTTCTTGGTTTTTTTTTTTGCGCCACAAACCTTTTTTTATAAGGTGGCTCTTCAAGAAACATTTAAAAGTACACCAGAGAATTGTATCTGTAACCTTGCTTTTGTCATTCTGATCTAGGAAAGGTTTAGTTTGATTTAATAGCTCTTGTTTAATTTTATTCTGTGTCTACAATCGCCTCATTCAGCTTCCAATTCACATGGATCTTATACTGCTGGTTATTCTCTCTCAAGGTAGATTTAAAAGCACACTAATTATTAGCATAAGAGGTATAGTTTGGGCAGTATCAATATGAGAATGAGAGAAATAAACTCTAGAAAAATAAGTACATTCTAACTTCCCAGGATATAAAGATCTTCAAAGATCAAAACAATCAAATTTATGTATAGTGTTAGTAAGAGACTACTTTGTAATTTTGATTAGGCTTTTATTAACAGTCATATTTTTAGATTTTCTTTAACCAATATTAGGGTCTACAAATACAAAAAAATAAGTCCTGCGCTCAAACTCCCATTACTTCTGGGCGATAGCAACGACGATAGTACACATCAGCCCAAATACATACAGTAAAAACCAAAGAAAAAAGTTACCTGCGCTCTATCCCAAATCCCTATGTATATTCAAACAAATGGAGGTTTTTAGTTACCTCCAATGGCCTTGAGAGGGTATGCCCCCCTGCCACATCACGGCAGACCTCTTACGTGGGTCCTAACTCTAACCATTCACCTTGCTGCCAGAAGCTCAAGGAAGGAATTCTTTGTTTTTGCTTCAATACATTAACTTGGCTCTCCCCAAGTTAAAAGGGTAATCCAGATGTGGATCCTGTGTTCACTTTGCCTAGAGCGGTATTAGCTACAGCTAACCATCGAGGCCCAAACAAGGCCAAAATGATCATTGTATCTCTCGTGCAGAGGGAACTTGCTGGCATTTCAGTTCTGGACTGCCCATGTGGGTGGGACCAGTCTGATATGCTTCAGATATGTTCTCTCTGTAATGGCACAAGTGAGCAAAACTTATTTTGAGACATGAGCAGGGATTTACCAAAGGGCAAGCTATTGAGTTTCTCTAAGCTTTTGTCAATTTTCAAAGTTCTCAAATTCTTTGTTTTAATACCTTAGTTAGTTAGTTAATAAGTTGGATTAACAGCTTTACATCAGATGTTGTGGATAATTTGCAGAGTTTCACTTAGAAATGTGCAATGATGCAGTGACAAAGTAAAACAGATACATAGAGCTATACAGCAGAGGCTTATATTCCTATATCCAGGTAATCTCAGTTATAAAAACTGTCTCCAAACAGATAGTTAGATCTCCCTATTTAATAGTGCTGCTGTAATTGACCAGCTGAATCTCAAAAGTCTTTAAATAATGAGTTCCATGGTATAAGCTATTTTCTTTCTTATTGCGTATTTCCAGCTTTTTCCGGTCCTCCAATTAAATATAACAAGTACTTGGCTTATTAGCTCATGGAATCCATATCAACTTCTTTCATATATCTCTACCAAGGCACATAACTTCTGCTTCAAAAAGGTGCACAGCATTTGGTTCCAACAGCAATTCTGCACCTCCTGTTGCCATGGCTGAGTTTCACGCTTCTCCTGAGCATTGTATCCAGCTTACACCACCATAGAGAAATAAGGAATAACAACATCGAGTTACAGGTGCAAATTTGGCTCACTTAGGGCATTTTCCGAGTTTCACTGGGGGAAGGAGGTCATGGTTTTACCAGCTGCCTCCAGGTGCTCACGCCATGAGGCACCCTTTAGCAACACTTTACAATGTCAACGCAACATGCGTCATATGTCCAATCCCAAAAGTTATGTGAGATCAGTTATGTAGAAAATGGGATCAATTAATCTGTCCAGGAAGTGGCACTGGATGACACTGATGAAACCTGCTAGAGGCTGAAATGTGTTGTCAATATAGTGTTGCATATTCAATGACACAAGCCAGCAAACACAGCAGGGAGTGCTGAACCAACTGGCAGTGTATACTCAATGAACATTATAATATAATAATGGCCCTAATTGCGTCAAGTAAATACCAGCCTTTAAAAATATTATTATTTATGTCTAGTTTTTTTAGCTGTTTGAAGGATTTGTAACGTGGAATAAAAGGAAGATATCCATAGAGGCTGCTTCTGATTTGATCTGTGACAGAATGTGTCCGCAGGACAGGTGAAAGGATTATTAAGCACTTGATGTGATGAAGATGACTGGTACAAAGATATTGTGCTATTGATGTATGTTTTTAGGTGATATCCCATTATGGATAAAAGAGAAAAAGAAATAAGAAAATAAAAAATAATAATTGTGGGATAAACTCGGTATGCCCAAATAAGAGAGTCTCTTTTTGAAGTGGTGTGGTGGAGGAATATTGAATCAACATACTGTACACTTGGAAGTGTTTCTATAATATAAGAAGTAACACTGGATGTGGATAAGGAGTATGTTGATACATCTATTGTGGAAAGGTGAAGGAGGTTCCAAGAAAATATATGCTAAAGGAGTTTAAGATAACTTTTTTACAACTTGGGTTCTGTTTTTAAATGCATGTGTAAATTGTTTGCTTACTCATCTTTATTGTAAAATTACCCAGGGCAGCAATAGGAGCTAGAAAGGATGTGGAGTGAAGGTGGTAGTACCTTTGGTAATAGGAGCACTTTTAGCTTTAACCCTTAAGTTGGGAGGGTGGCTTCAGCATATTCCAGATGGGACATCTGAGTCCACAAGAGTGCAGTTCTAGGAACAGCTAAGATACTGAGCAAAACCGTTAAAATCCAATGCTTCTGGTAGGGGACCCAAGAATGAGGAGGCCACAAAAATATACCATCTAGAGGATTGAGAAAATTAAAATTTTAATTAAATGGTTATTAAATGCTATTTTCACTGGTGAAGGGTTTGAATCAAATTGCTACCACATATCCAGGCATGACAATAAATGACTTTAGCATCAACTACTATGGTTTTTATGTAGGTTGTACTCTATAATGTGATAAAAGCAAACTGCTTGATAAAATATCTTTTACTTTTGCCAAAAAATTAAATCAGTTAGTTGTTACTAACATTTGATGTCTCGTTTATACCGTGGAGTATAATTAATTTATTACAATTAACATTGACAGTTCACAGGCCTTAGGTAAACCCCTACAGTTTTCTCAGCCAGGGAAAACAGACAATAAAAGACAATCAAATGGGAAGCGAAAACAGAGCTACAAGTGCTTGTGTAGGTGTGAAAAGAGTCACAAACAATAACCCTAGCCACACCCAATAAAGGGAACAATATTCAGGTGCTATAAAAACTATAAATTAATTTTTATATCCATGCCTTTGGGGCAAACCTGGAGAAATGCCAAGATATAACATTTTAATAAATTGCATGACATGTTAGGTCATACCATCATATTTATAATTTG